CTACCCTCCATGTCTTTTCAGAGATTTTGGCATTTAAATAAGGTGCTTTAAATCAATATCTGCCTTTGACGCGATGGTGACTTCCATTACTAGGCCAGTCGCCATTGGCAACCAGAGAACATTCTGACCAGTACAAGCTACAGGCTCCTAATTGAATTTAGACACCCTTCCCCCTCAACTCCCCCTCTGAGCATTTCGGGCAGGCGAACATCATATACCCTCCTGTAGTCACACATTACTGACAGCCCATTTCTGGTGATTTCTATTCCATTTTAATTGCTTTTTTTTTAAACTCATAGTGATGAGTGGACACAAACACTCGATTTATCAGATATTGGCTCCAATCAAAATTATTTTGGCATTAAGGCCGGAATTTCACCCATGCATTTTTGTTCTGATGTCTCTTTTTTTAATTGTGTCCTTCCCCGGGTTCTATCAGCATGAAGTTTATAAAAGATATTGTTTTATTTAATATCACTCAGGAGTCCATCCCGTTTAATGCCGTATTAAGTGCAAGTCGTGGAGCATTAACGATCATTTCTTTCCCAGCGGGCGCTCGGAGGCGTTATTGCTGGAACGGCGGCGTCCTTATGTGTAAACCTAAATCAATTAAAGAAGAAAAAAATATATACTTAATGACTCCGATGTATCGCGTGTCGTAGGGAGGATATTCTCCGGCAAATTCCCTTCTTAGCGGACCCTGTGCCTGGTCTAGGGATACCATTCCTTGGCTAGTGACCTTATTCCTGGCCTAGTGACAGGTTGCCTTGCATGGTGACACCATACCTGGTCTAGGGATACCATTCCTTGGCTAGTGACCTTATTCCTGGCCTAGTGACAGGTTGCCTTCCATGGTGACACCATACCTGGTCTAGGGATACCATTCCTTGGCTAGTGACCTTATTCCTGGCCTAGCGACAGGTTGCCTTGCATGGTGACACCATACCTGGTCTAGGGATACCATTCCTTGGCTAGTGACCTTATTCCTGGCCTAGTGACAGGTTGCCTTGCATGGTGACACCATACCTGGTCTAGGGATACCATTCCTTGGCTAGTGACCTTATTCCTGGCCTAGTGATAGGTTGCCTTGCATGGTGACACCATACCTGGTCTAGGGATACCATTCCTTGGCTAGTGACCTTATTCCTGGCCCTAGTGACAGGTTGCCTTGCATGGTGACACCATACCTGGTCTAGGGATACCATTCCTTGGCTAGTGACCTTATTCCTGGCCTAGTGACAGGTTGCCTTGCATGGTGACACCATACCTGGTCTAGGGATACCATTCCTTGGCTAGTGACCTTATTCCTGGCCTAGTGACAGGTTGCCTTCCATGGTGACACCATACCTGGTCTAGGGATACCATTCCTTGGCTAGTGACCTTATTCCTGGCCTAGCGACAGGTTGCCTTGCATGGTGACACCATACCTGGTCTAGGGATACCATTCCTTGGCTAGTGACCTTATTCCTGGCCTAGTGATAGGTTGCCTTGCATGGTGACACCATACCTGGTCTAGGGATACCATTCCTTGGCTAGTGACCTTATTCCTGGCCCTAGTGACAGGTTGCCTTGCATGGTGACACCATACCTGGTCTAGGGATACCATTCCTTGGCTAGTGACCTTATTCCTGGCCTAGTGACAGGTTGCCTTGCATGGTGACACCATACCTGGTCTAGGGATACCATTCCTTGGCTAGTGACCTTATTCCTGGCCTAGTGACAGGTTGCCTTGCATGGTGACACCATACCTGGTCTAGGGATACCATTCCTTGGCTAGTGACCTTATTCCTGGCCTAGTGACAGGTTGCCTTGCATGGTGACACCATACCTGGTCTAGGGATACCATTCCTTGGCTAGTGACCTTATTCCTGGCCTAGTGACAGGTTGCCTTGCATGGTGACACCATACCTGGTCTAGTGACTCCATACTTGGCCAATGTCAGGAAGAGCAAGGGCCGCCAATATCTTACATAGTTACATAGTATTTGAGGTTGAATAAAGAAATAAGTCCATCAAGTCCAACCTATTGTGTGTATGCATTTATGAGCAGGTGTGTGCGTGTGTATGAGGCCATGTGTGATTTTGCTCCCAGCAGTACCTGTACCCCTGTATGTTACCTGTACCCCTGTATGTTACCTGTACCCCTGTATGTTACCTGTACCCCTGTATGTTATGGTCTCCAAGGAAATCGTCTAAGAGTTTCTTGAATGATTCCACACTCTTAGCCGAGATCACTTCCTGTGGCAGCGAGTTCCAGACCTTAGCCGCCCTCTCTGAGAAGAACCCCTTGCGATCGCGTGTTGACATTTTTTTCTCCACCAATTTTTGGTGGTGGCCTCTGGTCTTTGTTACGGGGTTAACCGTAAACAGTTTGTTAATAATGTTGCTGTCACCACTGAACATTTTATACAAGAAAATCATGCCCCCCCCCCCCCTTAATCTCCTCACTTCCAAAGAGAACATATTTAATTTTAACAGCCTTTTATTCACACGTTAACATGCATTGCATTCAAAGAAATGGTCTGGCAATGCACCAAAACATCTGAAAAAAATGGACATGTACCATTTTTCGGATGCGGGGCACCTTGGTATTGCATGGCTATACGTAGTGCCCTTCTACAACTGGGTTGGAGCTGCGTTGCCTTGGGGTGTTGGGGTGCCATTCAAAATGAATGGGACTGCAATGCACTAATACATAATGTACCTCAGTGGAAAGGTGTAAATAGACCCAATCTCTATATGAGGGGTAGGCAACCTCCGGCCCTCCAGCTGCGTTGCAATGACAAATCCCATTAGGTATTGCAAGAGCCACAGGCATGACTCCCAGATGCATGATTGGATTTGAAGTTTCGCCCCAGCTGAAGGGCCCGAGTGTGCCTAGCCCTGCTCTGTAGCATTTATTCCCCATCAGAGGGAACTTTAATGCAGGAATTTTGTATATTACCACCGCTAACCAACCCCCTCCTGAAAATTCCTGTCTCCCAGGTGTCATGCCTATACATTGAGCTAGAACAAGCATGGCTCCATTTGGTGATCATTTCAAAGCCACAAGGCAGCCAGGCAATTAGCATCTTTAGAAGGATGAGTAAAAAGACGGGATATGTAATTAAAGTTTCCTTTGAAGGCCAAACTGCCCACTATGCATTGCGTTATGGCATGTATGTTAAAGGAGAACTATCACCTCATAGTTTGGATGGATTCCCCCCTCCCCGCTCCGATCTGCCGGCGCTGACTGGCGGATGGGGCCGGGGGCGGGTACAGCTGGCTCTGCCTCAAGATAGGCAGAGCCAGCTGTCAGTCACGCAGCTGGGCGGATCCCGTCATCTAAGTCGGGATCCGCTCCGGCTGCGGCCTCTCAGTATACCGCGAGCTGTAGCTCGCGGTATACTGAGCTTAGCGTAACGGGAGGACGATAGTTTGTGTCCTCCCGTTACCCTAAGGAGAACTATGGGGGAAAACACTGACCCCCATAGTTCTCCTTTAAGGCAGCTCATTTACATTGAATGGGATGGCAGCACAACTCAACACGAGTTAAAAAAAAAAAGTGACTTTCACCTTTACTCCCATCCCCCCATTGTACGCATTGGAATGTGAACCATCTTTGCGATGCGCTGGACTGAAATGTGAAGGACACCACTTTGAGGATCATGTGTTAACCATGTGTTGGGAAATGCCCCTTGCCACCATGCACAAGTCCAAATGGGGCCTAAGGAAGCTTCCCCCCAAATCTAATGTCAACTGACCAATCACAGCCCCCTTCCGCATCTACAGACTCATGTAGATATCCCCCTCCGATCCTCATGAGTCTGGATTGGCCAGAATGGTTTCAAAAGATTCATCAGCAACGCAATATAAAGGGGGAAAACAAAGTTTTAATCCCAAACACTTCCCATTTCTGCTCCTCTGTGTGGTTGTGCCTGCTAATGTCTTCTCTTCTCTGTTGCAGGTGGACCGTCAGGCCCAGTTCATACAGGGTTACCGGGTCATGTACCGCCCCAAATCCAGCGTTTGGGTCGTCCAAGATGTCAAGTCCCCAACCGAGCGCTTGGTGGTCCTGGTGGACCTGAAGCGGGGGACGGAGTACGTGCTGGTTGTGAAGGAGGTGAGAACAGCCCGAAGTGCAGATCACTAAGAGGCACTCGTGTGGAGATAAGGGTGGATTGGGGTTATCTGTCTTGAGGATTTCCTCTCCTGCTGTGTGAAAATAAAATCCCCAGAGGAATGCTAGACTAGAGCAGGGTGGGGGATGTTCCAGCTGTCTTGCTAGCATTTCCGTGGGCCATATGAAGGGAATGTGTCAACGAAACGAAATGACTTTACTGTAGTTGGATATCAGTTTGAGATGCTTCTATGATCATTCACAATTCATTGACATTTGTCCTACAGTTGACCTTCGAGGAGACGTTCCATTCTCATAGACTTGTATGGGAACACAAAACCAAAGCCGCAAGAGTACTCCCCACTGAATTCCTGGGTTATAAGCAGGGGCGTCCCGAGGCTGGGGGTCACCCGGAGCGGAGACCGGGTGACATCCCGGCGTGCCGTCATCGCGCATGCACGGTGGTCTTATTGACGCCTTCCGGCGGTCATCTTGGTGATGGACGCCAGCAGAGAGAGGAGGGGGACGTTCACCCGGCGGGATGAGGTATGCTGCCGGGTCCCTACCTCTCTCCTCCATTGGAGTGTCACCCCTCCATTGGCACCCGGGTGCGGGCCGCACCCCCCTTATGACGCCACTGGTTATAAGACCTAAAAAATGTTCCCCCTCTAGTGAAGTCCTGGAGGCAAGCATGGGAGGAGTTGACGAGGGAGCTGGAATTGACGCCTGCCGGCAGCCATCTTCGTGATCGATGCCGGCAGAGAGAGGTGGGGACGTTCACCTGGCGGGATGAGGTATGCCACCGGGTCCCCACCTCTCTCCTGACACTGTCGGGCTCTCGGTCCGTGACCGAGTGCCCGACTTTTCATAGGGGGTGACACCAAAATGACTGTCACCCCTCCAATGGCACCCGGGTGCGGGCCGCACCCCCCTTGTGTCGCCACTTGCTATAAGACCTAAAAAATGTTCCCCCATGTGGACCAAGATCATCAGGAAAGTTCTGATCAACAGGGAACGAGGAACTAAGTTTTCCCCCAGGGTGGGAAGTTGGACTTGGTGGGGATCTTTGGTGCTATTTCGCTGTTATCAGTTCAGTCCATGCCTGGACATCTTATGTAACCACATTCTACACCTAATCCCAGCTTCCTCCAAATCAGACACTGAGCGTTCATGTATGAACCGTCAGATCACCAGCGTGGGCCTGCCAGTCATAACATTCCATGGGTGCAAACACGGCTCGCTGTCGCAGCTTCTGCTGTCTGTAGTATCTCTTCCTTTTGATAATATATTGTGAGCTTCCCCTCCCGGAATGCTCTGACTTCATTGTGAAAAAATCTCGCCGTTTCTCCAAACTATTATCCACTAAACAAAAATGTGAACTATATTTGATAAGCACCTCGTGGAAGGAAAATGTCAGTTCCGGGTGCAATAGGATGCTGGGGTATCATTTGTAGCAAATAATACGAGTACAAAACACAAAGTATGAGGGTAAATGCGGCTCGGCTTGTTCGGCTTCACTTACCGACAACAAGAAATGTTATTCAGAAAAAAGTTTGTTGAAATATTTACACTGGGGGCAGGTAAGAGGACACGGGGACTGTAAACTTTCTTTGTTTACATTGTTAAAATGTTTCACGTTTTTCTGTTATCAAAGTATCAGGAATTGGAGGGAATGTTTAGAGGAAGGTGAAGTGATACTGAACACGTTATTTCATGGCACCAAGTTAAAAGGAGAATTATGAGGGGGGTGATTTTCACTCAGCCTCGTAATCTGAGCCGACCTGTGACAATGAGACTGTCACGGGTCGGCTCAGTAGATCGGGAAGTGAGCGAACACATACCGGCGCTCGCTCACTTCTTGATCTATCCGTGCAGAGAGCCGTGACTGTCACTCACGGCTCCCTGCACGGATTCCCCCCCTCCCCTGTCCGACCCTCCAGCACTGACTGGCGGAACGGACGGGGGAGGGTACAGCTGGCTCTGCCTCTAGATAGGCAGAGCCAGCTGTCACTCACGCAGCTGGGTGGATCCCGGCACAATTGTCGGGATCTGTTCCGGCTGCGGCATCTCAGTATACCGCGAGCTGTAGCTCCCTATATACTGAGCTTTGGGTGACGGGAGGACGCTAGTTTGTGTCCTCCTGTTACCCTTAGGAGAACTATGGGGAAAAGCCCTGACCCCATAGTTCTCCTTTAAAGAAGTCTTTTTGACCAATATATTTTGTTGCTTCCCTTGCATGCTTGACTGGTTGACAGTCCCTATTGAGGACCTTTTACAGAAGGATGAGGTTGGTCATAATTTGGTTGCAATTTTTTTTTAAAGCTTTTGTGTTTTTTTCCAGTTCCCAGTGCGCCTCCGCAGTCTGTCTCCGTGGTGACTGTCGGTACAAGCAACAGTACCAACATCAGCATCACATGGGAACCTCCTCCTGTGGAGCACCAGAATGGGATTATCCAGGACTACCGGGTGAGTTTACAGTTTTCATATGGGAATCTCTAACTTTGAAACAGAAGATCACGGCCTATACAAAAGGGATCCAGATTATAAAAGAGTTAGGTCATTCCGTTCCAGAGAGCACACAATCATCATCAACAACCATCTCCGCCCTACAACATACAATATAGGGCCAAAAGTATTGAATCCTTCCCCTGGTCGGCTAGAACTATGAGGTGAGTGGAAATCACTCATCTCATAGTTCTCCTTTTAAGTCCAGGTGTTCCCAGTGAAAAGTACTGTTGATACTACAGCATATGAATACATTGTAGACAATTGTCTTCTTCCAGCCTTGTGGTCACAGTTTGAAGACCCTTTTTCTGTTCCACCATAACTGTCCCCTGTGTAGAAAGCCAGCTCCATAAAGACACGGTGTGACCAGCTTGGTGGAGGAACTTGAGTATCCTGCACAGAGCCACGACCTCAACCCTACTGAGCACCTTTGGGATGAACTGGAATGCCGATTGTGAGCCAGATCTCCTCATCCAAAATCAGTACCTGACCTCAGTCGTCATCCAAAATCTTGTATAAAGCTTTCCTGGAAGTGTGGAGGCCATTAAAGCCACAAAAGGGCCAACTCTATAATAATGCCCATTGGGGGAAGGAAATAACACATTAAGGACCATTGTGTGGAAATGAGATGTCAAACAAGCTCATCTAGGTGTTTACAAACCTGAGGTCATATAGTGTACTTTACCACCACAATTGAGCATTAGGCCTTTGTAGGAACTGAAGGTGAACATTTACTGCTCAAAGTAACTGCGGGGCCGGCCGATGATATTTTATGGCCAAGTTAGACAATGGCAGAGGACAACCAGCGGATGGGTTCCTGTAAGTGATGTTTCTTTTTGTTAAACAAATAAAATTGTTGCTGTTTGAAGAACATTTTTAGCACTGACACTTAGACTGTTCTCCTTCTCCCCAGATCTGGCTTTTAGGAAATGAATCTCGGTACCACATAAATAGGACAGTGGATGGAACCGTGCACAGTAGCGTCATCCGAGGACTCGTTCCGGGAATTCTGTACCGCGTTGAAGTGGCCGCAGCAACCAGCGCTGGTTTTGGGGTTAAAAGCCAACCAATCACCATCCAGATTAGTAAGTGTCTGACCCTCGGATAGCACTGTATGGGCAAGGTTATTACCCTGTTTCCTCGAAAATAAGACCTAGTACTATTTTGGGGAATTGCTAAAATATGAGACCTACCCCGAAAATAAGACCCAGTTGTGACCATTCCCAGGGCCGGTGGTGGCATTAGGGGGAACTTGAAGAGCCGCGGGAGAGAAGCAGCGGTGCCAACTAAGCCAGCGCTAGAGGAAGCGAGGCGGCACCGGAGGGAGCAGAGCCGCATAAGCCGATGCTTCCTCTATAGCCCCGCCTCCTGTCACAGGCGGAGTAATACCAAATGCACTCCGCCTGTGAGTAATCCATAGTGAAAGTGCGCTTCGCTCATTCTGGTTACCAAATTGCTCTTGGAAAGGTACGGCACCCCTGATTGCCCTGATCACCCTATTCTTAACTTTGCCATTTTGGAATATTTAATTTGGATTTGCATTAACTTTGCATTGTTGTATATTAAAAAAAAAAAAAAAAAAATCAGA